CCTATCAAGAAATAAGAAAAATGTCACACAATCTAACCTTCCACCTGAAGGAACTAGAAAAGAACAAAGCCCAAAGTTTATAGAAGGAAGAAAATAATAGATTGGAGTAGAAATAAATGACATACAGACTAAAAAAATACAAATGATTAATCTAACTAAGCAGGTTTTTTTTTTAAGTTAATTTATGTATTTTGAGAGAGACAGACAGACAGCAAGTGGGGGGAGGGGCAGAGGGAGAAAGAGAAAAAGAAAGAGAGAGAGAGAGACAGAGTCAGTCTCAAGCAGGCTCCATGCTGTCAGCACAGAGCCTGATGTGGGGCTTGAACCCACGAACTGTGAGATCATGACTTGAGCCAAAATTGAGAGTAGAATGCTAAACAACTGAACCACCCAGGCGCCCCTGAAATGGTTTTTTGAAAAGATAAATAATACTGATAAACCTTTAACCAAACTCCTCAAGAAAGAAAGAGGAACCAAATAATCAGAAATGAAAGAGAAGTTACAAATGACCCCACAGAAATACAAAGGATCAAGACTACTATGAAAAAGTGTTATGTCAACAAATTTGACAACCTAGAAGAAAGACCTAAATTTCCAGAAACATACAATCTTCTAAGATTAAATCAGGAATAAGCAGAAAATGTGAACAGACCAATTACAGGTAATGAAATTGAATCAGTAATCAAAAAACCTCTAACATAAAAAGTCTAGGACCAGAAGGCTTCATAGGTGACTTGTACAAAACATTTAAAGAAGAGTTAATACCTATCCTTCTCAAGCTATTCCAAAAAAATATTAGAGGATGATTCCAAATTCATTCTCGGAGACCAGCATCACCCTGATACCAAACCCAGAGATAGTATGAAAAACATTAAAAATTGCAAACACCCCAGAACATAGATGCAAAAATCCTCAACAAAATATTCATAAATTGAATTCAACAGTATGTTAAAAAAAAAAAAAGGATCATTCACCATGATCAATTTATTCTGAATTTATTTCAGGGATGCAAGGACAGTACAATATCTACAAATAAATCAACATGATACATATTAAGAAAATGAAGGATTAAAATCGTATGATCATTTCAATAGATGCAGAAAAAGCATGTGACAGAATTCAACATTTATGATACAAATTCTCAACAGAGCGGGTAGAGAGGGAATGTACCTCAACAGGCCACATGTGACAAGCCTATAGCGAACATACTCAATGGTGAAAAGATGAAAGCTTTTCTTCTAAGGAACAAGACTACTTATTTTGTTGTTCTAATCAACTAATCAACTGGTTAGTTACTAGTTGAGAACTAATTAAGTGGTCTAATAAACTAATAAAACTCTCACCACACTTATTCAACATAGTATTGGAAGTCCAAGCTGCAGCAATCAGACAAGGAAATAAAAGGCATCCAAACTGGTAAAGAAAAATGAAACTGTCACTACCTGCATGACACTATATAAAGAACACCTTAATACTCCACCAAAAAACTACCAGGACTAATAAATGATTCAGTAAAGTTTCAGAATACACAATTAATAAACACAATCTATTGTTTCTATACACTAATAACAAACTATCAGAAAAAGAAATTAAGAAAAAAATCCCATGTACAATTACATCAAAAAGAATAAAATACCTAGGGAATAAATTTAACCAAGGAGGTCAAAGACCTGCACTCTGAAAATTATTAAGATATTGATGACATGAAGAAACTGAAGATGACAGAGATAAATGGAAAGATTTTCTGTGCTAATGAACTGGAAGGATAATGTTAAATTTCCATACCAACCAAAGCAATCTGCAGATTGAGTACAATCCCAATCAAAATGCCAATAGTATTTTTCACAGAACAAATAATTCTAAAATTTGTATGGAACCACAAAGGATACGAAATAGCCAAAGCAATCTTGAGAAAGAAGAACAAAACTGGAGGTATCACGCTACAAATATACTACAAATACAGCACAAATCTATTGTAATCAAAACAGTATGGTACTGGCACATAAAAAGACACATGGATCAACTAAATAGAACAGAAAGCCCAGAAATAAACCCACATATATATGGTGAATTAATCTGTGATAAAGAAGGCAAGAATGCACCACAAGGAAAAGACAGTCTCTTTAATAAATGGTACCGGGAAAACTAGAAAACTACATGCAAAAGAATGAAATTGGACCACTTTTTTATACCACACACAAAAATAAACTAAAAATGAATTGAAGACTTAAATGTGAGACCTAAAACCATAAAACTCCTAAAAGAAAACATAGAGGTAATTCTGGACATCAGAAATATATTTCTGGCCCCAGAAATATTTTCCTAGATCTGTCCCCTCAGGCATGGGAAACAAAAGCAAAACTAAACAACTGAGACTACATTAAGATAAAAAGGCTTTTGCACAGCAAAGGACCATCAACAAAACAAAGAGGCAACCTATGGAATGGGACAATGTATCTGCAAATGATATATCCAATAAAGGGATAATTTCCTCCCCCCCCACCACCAAAAAAGAACGAATTCATACAACTAAATGCCAAGAAAACCAACAATCAGATTAAAAATGGGCAGAAGATCTAAATAGGCATTTTTCAAAGAAGACATACAGATGGCCAACATACACATGAAGAGAGATGCTCAACATCACTATATCAGGAAAATGCAAACCAAAACCACAATGAAGTATCACCTCATAACAGTCAGAAAGCCTAGTACCAAGGAGACAAGAGATAACAAGTGTTGGCGAGGATGTAGAGAAAAGGGAACACTTGTGCATTGATGGTGGGAATGTAAATTGGTACAACCAGGATGGAAAACAGTATGGGGTTCCTCAAAAAATTAAAAACAGAAATACTATATAATCCGGTAGTTCCACTACTAGGTATTTAGCCAAAGCAAGCCAAAACTCTAACTCGCAAAGTAATATGCACCCCAAGTTCATTGTGGCATTGTTTATAATAGCCAAGGTATGGAAGCAACTCAAGTGTCCACTGATAGATGAATGCATAAAGAAGTTGCAGTATTTATATATACAATGGAATATGACTCAGCCATAAAAATAATGAAACCTTGCTGTCTGTGATGACATGGATGAACCAAAGGGTATTTAGACTAATTATGTCAGACAAGGAAAGACAAATACCATATGATTTCATTTATATGTGCTAAGAAACAAAACAAATGAACAAACAAAACACAGAAACAAACTCATAAATACAGAGACCTGGTGGTTGCCAGAGAGGTGGGGGCAGGGAGGTGTGCAAAATGGATGAAAGGGATTAAGAGGTACAAACTTCCAGTTATAAAATAAGTCACAGGGGGGCGCCTGGGTGGCGCAGTCGGTTAAGCGTCCGACTTCAGCCAGGTCACGATCTCGCGGTCCGTGAGTTCGAGCCCCGCGTCAGGCTCTGGGCTGATGGCTCAGAGCCTGGAGCCTGTTTCCGATTCTGTGTCTCCCTCTCTCTCTGCCCCTCCCCCGTTCATGCTCTGTCTCTCTCTGTCCCCAAAATAAATAAACGTTGAAAAAAAAATTTTTTTTAAATAAAATAAAATAAGTCACAGGGATGAAAAACAAAGCATAGGCAATGTAGTCCATAATACTGTAATTAACTTTTGTGCAGTGATAGCTGGTAACTACACTTACTGTGGTAAGCATTTCATAATGTATGTAATTCTTAAATCACTGTTGTACACCTGAAACTAATATTCTATGTCAATTGTAATTAAACATTTTAAAAATAGGGGTGTCTGGGTGGCTGACTCGGTTAAACATCCGACTTCAGTTCAGGTCATGATCCCTCAGTCCATGGGTTCAAGCCCTGTGTGGGTCTCTTGGATAGTTCAGAGCCTGGAGCCTGCTTCGGATTCTGTCTCCTTCTCTCTCTCTGCCCCTCCCCCGCTTGTGCTCTGTCTCTCTGGCTCTCAAAAATAAACATTTAAAAAAAATTAGGGGCGCCTGGGTGGCTCAGTCGGTTAAGCGTCTGACTTCGGCTCAGGTCATGATCTCACAGTCTGTGGGTTCAAGCCCCATGTCGGGCTCTGTGCTGGCAGCTCAGGGCCTGGATCCTGCTTCGGATTCTGTGTCTCCCTCTCTCTCTGCCTCTCCCCTGCTCATGCTCTGTCTCTCTCTGTCTCAAAAATAAATTAAAAAAAACATTAAAAAAAATAATAAAATAAAAAAATAAATAAAAAAAATTAAAAATTAGATATAAAGTAAGCCAAACAAGGGGGAAAAAAAGTGTACAGACTTTTTAAAAAAAGCACATTGAACCGCCAACACCTAGTTTACATTTTTAGTTTTTCTCTGATCTTTCACAGTGGACTTAAATCCTCTTTGAAACATTGCAAAATGTAAACAAGTGCCAGTTATCAAAGCCCAGGCCTAAATAAGTCACTATTCAACCACCACAATATCTTGGGGAAAAGGATACTACACTGTATAACCGCATTTTTCCTTGCTTATTTAGCACATATATTCATTCACTACTGTCTACTTTCCTGGGTTAATATGAGATTTAACTCAGGGACTATAAATGAAACACTTCGTTAACGACTGTGTTTATGTAAGTGTTCATATATTGAGGGAAGATGAAGAGATTGAGGGATGATGCTATTTGAAGTTAAAGTTTGATCAGTGAAAGATGAGTAAAAGAATCTTTAAAATTCTAATTCAGGAATTAAATTCATGTTAATCACTAACAGTATTGATATTTTAATAATCTGGCAATTCTGAAATTATATCCAACAATTTTAAATTATTTTATTGAATTCAATCAGAACTATACAGGTGAGTTTTTTGCAATCATAAATTAATATAGAAATAAATGAAAAATGAATTCTATGACATATCTGGACCAACTCTGAATTTGCAAAGTAAATAACAAATGTGCAGTCCTCATGTTATCAAGTGACTTTGACCAAAAGTGAAAAATACATCATTCCTTTTGATGGTTTCCTGTGGGATCCCTCAGGATATTTTAAGTAATAAAGAATGTAACAGACTACAGAGCAACAAAGAGATTTACAGCAGAAGCAATGATTAAAATGATGAACGTCGCCAATGGTGGAAGGAGCATTTTGCCAGAGGATGCAGAGGGATGGGTTTTGGGACCTGGAACTGGAACTGGAACCGGACCTGGAGCTGTTAATGAGAAGACACAGTGACTGACACATGTCATTTCTGATACTGAGTTTTATCCACCTAAACCATGCAGACATTTAGCCTGAGTCACAAACTTAACTAAAATACTTCTAACCAGAAACAATGTTGAAATAAATATAGTTCATTACAGATTTCAGGCTACATTTTCATATATAGCATCAGGGTATGCTGCTCTAGGTTTCATCGAGGATTCCACAGCCTTTTTAATATCTATGCAGACAACATACTTTGTTGTTGTTGTTCAAGTTCTCTAGAATTTCATAGCAATTTTCTGTTTTCATTTTCTGTATATACATGCAAGGTAAAGTTTAATTCTGTGTTTATTTCAAGTAAGGCTATATCTAATATATATATATGCCACCAGCGACTAATGATTAAATATAGCTGCACTTTTAAATGCTGAGTCCTGCCAGCTGATAAAATAAATTAACTTTTTCCCTCCGTACATGAAACACTGTAGAAAATGGCTTCCCTTACATAGGAACTAGTGAAGAGGAACAGTGCAGTCCATCCATGTGAGGATGATGTTTCACATGATAATTCAGTTATCCCTTAACTAAATTATGGCCATATTTTGGTTTAGACCATACAAGGGAGAACTAGGAAGTATCCAAATGGGATCACCACTCAGATTTCATACATGAAACACAGAGAAACAGGCAATAAATTTTGTAAGTCTTTAACTCATATTATCAATTTACTTGCCATGCATTTGTATGTATACAGATGGGGAAATGGAGAGGCAGGTGTACTCATACATTAGTTTGTTACTACGGAGCCATGGTTCTCAAGGGAGCAGTACTGTCCCCTAGGAGGCAGTTTGGGAACTTGTCAGAGTATTTTTTGATAGTCACAATAGTGAGGTAGAAGTACAGAAGGCAAGATGGATGCTGTCCAATGCTCTGGACAGTGTTTGCACAATGAAAAATTAACCCACTTCCACACAAACTTCAAATGCACTGCCAGACACACATGTAAGTTAATAATCTATTTATAATGCTTAAACCCAGAACCAAAATCAATTTTATGTAGAAACAAAGTATTTTTGGATAGTTTTAATAAACATTAGTTTCCATCTAGTTTCTACTTCTTCTCTTTCATTTTCTTACACTTGCATAGAATAGCTTCCAGTCTTCTCTTAAATCCAATTTGTGTTAAGTAAATACAATCATCTGTCCATTATGTCTTTTAGTATAACGTAGGCACTTACATATTGAAATGTACATAATTTTGTTATAAATTATAATTAAAAAATTATACTGATATTTTTATGGGGGCAGGTGGGTCTTCTTATCTATGAATGGTACTTCAGGATAGTATAAAGGCTTTATAAATACTTGTTATAAAAAGGGAGAAGTGGGTTGATAGGGTTGAGAACCACCACTCTAAACAGAACACAGTTGAAAATGACTGCTTAAGAAATAAAGCCCAGTTGCTCCCACCATATACACACAATAAGCATTTGGATATGACATTATATTCCGTTGTTATGATTCCTGAAACTTTTGAAACTTTGTTTCTGTTATTGAAGAAAAATAAATTTGTCACTTCTTTTATATTGCAGATCAGACACTTATCAACTAAGGAAATGAAGTATTTCTTACTAGGATTGCCGATATCTTCCTGACTTTGGTCTTCTAAAATAGAAACAGATTTTGAGTTAGTTGCATTGTACATCTATATATCCAGAAAGAGAAAAATCTGACTAAATGATTAAGCAAACATGGTTATCTCTGAGAATGGGCCTGCAGGGCAGGGTATTGGGCTTATATGTATGTGTGGGGTTGGGGAAGGGTTTAATTTTTACTCACTTGTGCTCTTTGAAATTTTGTTTACCTTGTATGTACATGTGTTTCCATTAAAAGAAAAATTAAAATTTTATTTACAAAAAAGTACTTTTTCTGCACATTGAACTAAGATTCCCAAGTACAACATTAATACCAACTATTTACTGAGTGCTTTCTATGTGTCATGCATTGTGTAAACGATTTATGTAATTGTCAGATTTCTTACAGCCCCAGTAGATATAGTTATCAGTATTATACAGATGTTCCTCAAAACTTGCACAAAATCAGAGGCAATCAGTGGTAGCAATGTCTGATTTCAAAGCCTCTGTTCTCCATTACTATGATATACCACCTCAATTACAATGCTGTGCTAGCATTGAAATATTACAATATTGCCATATTTTGATAGTTTTGAAGCCAAATACCCATTACAGGAGCCCAGGATAGAGGCGTATTTTTTTTTATAACTAAATCTGGCTGGAAGACAAGTGTCACATGACAGAAAGTGAACAAAATTTGAAAAGTGTGAGTCCTGGTTTTCTCTTTCTAGTCCTTTACAGGTTCCTTAAATTTCCTATATTCCATACTTTCATCTCTGAAATGGCAATAACAATATTTATCTTAACGATTAAACGAGATCCTGTGTAAATGTTTTGACACTTTTAAAAAGCTTGCACTACACACAGCTTTCTAGGAGAGAGCACAATACAAAACATTCCCAGCAAAACCTAGTAGCCTCTCTGGAGGACATGGCAAGTGCAGTGAGGAACACAGAATGACTGGTCTCATGCTGTAGGCTTCTCATACACACTTCTCTGATGATGCTGTTCCTGTTACTACAGATCCCCTCACAGTAGCCACCTGACCCTGGGAAGCCTCCTGTTCCATTCTGCAATAGACATTTGCAGCTGGAAGCCAACTCTTCCAGTTGCCGGTCAACTATCTTTTTCTTTGCTTAGCCCAGAGAGCCATAATAGCAGCCTGCTGCTCACACTGAAAGGGGTTCTCAATATTTTCTCCCTCTGGCTTGCATACTGGGGTATCAGAGAAGCTGTGCAGCCCAGGTGTCTTCCTTAGCCCCCTTAAGACTGAGCTAACTGAATGATCATATTAAAGGACCCAGAACCCCATGGTACCTCCACCCCCAAAAAAGAATTTATTACCAGGTTTTTCATCCAGTTGCACCACTTTTATTCCTAAATGAGAAAGAATTTCAGATAATAATAAAGACAGCTACAACTTACCACTATTTTAACTATTTTAAACTACCATTCTCATTTTGCCAAACTTTATCTCATTATGACTTTAATCAGTCCTGCAAGACATAAATTTTCTTCATTTTACAGATGTGGAAGCGGAAGCAGAAGCACCAGCACAGGAAAGTGAAATAGCTTACATAAAAAGTTACCCTGTGAAAATGGCAGAGGAAAGACTTCATTAAGCTGGGTCTGTCTGTCTATACAGCCTGTGTTCATTCCCGACACCTGGCTCAGCAGCTGCCTATCAGATAACCACTGTATCTCAAAGGAGCCAATGAAAATACTATGCAAACTCGGGCCACTGAGCTGAAGAGTTGTAGACACACAAGGTGTGTCATCAGTGTTGTTAGAGGTTCACTTCAAAGTTGTAACCAAATAAATGTGTGACACAACACGGCAAATCCAGGAAAAAAAAATGAAGTTTGGGGGCCTTTCAACATTTTTCCTCCTCTGTAAAGCATATTTTCTGAGCCCCTTCTGAGGAACTTGACAGGAAACACTATACAGTTTCTCTGGTCACAAAAGCTCAAGGCTCCTCAATAGCCTTGTCCTCACCACAGCCTCACACTGTTTAAATATCTTTTTTCATGATTATATTTTATTGGTAGGCTAAATGTGCCATGGTAAATAAAACTGGAAAAACACTTAAGGAACCAAAGTCTTCAGGAATAATGGGTACTTGGCCGTAAGTTAAGAGACCTGGGTCCTTCACTCACTTACGTGATCTTGTGCAAAGTACTGAGGCTCCCCTGCATATCTAATGGTGACAACTGTTAACTAAACCCCCCAAATGGGCAACTTATTCTCTCATATGCCAACCACTGCTTACCAGGTAGTGAAAAAGTTTCTGGAATTTTCATTCCTAAACGAGAAAGAAGTTTTTAGTGACTTACAGTTTGCTCCAATGAGTACGTTCTCCCATCTCTTCTTGTCTGATGAGCTTAAGTGATACAAATGCCAAAGCTCCCACTGCACTGTGATTCCTGGCTTTTTATTTAAAAGTTATGGCTATGAGAGCCCTCACTGTGCAAATCCACTTCAAGCTTAGAGAAGCTTTCTGCCATGGCTTGTCTGTATGCTAGAAGACTGTATTTTGTTACCTCGAAATTCTAGATGCTGAAATGTTAGCCAAAGCGAATAGTCAGCGTCTTCATGACGCTGAATTTTCTGAGTAACTTAAGCTATAGAACCTAGAAGGTGCTGGCCTGCATGCCTCCAGGTCCCAGCAGCCTTGCCTTCAGCCATGCCCCTAACAAGCTAAGTTTCCTGCTCTAGGAACATATGAATGCTAGGGAAGAAAGACACTTTTTTTCCTCTCTACTCTCCTCCCCAGCTAAATCTTAGTAGAATGGCTAGCAGTAGGCTGTAAGGGAAATGTTAATGAATAATAGTCTCATGAAGATATATTTCTTAATGCCTGGGGGAATTCTTCTCACCTCATACTTGGACCCAAAGAGTAAAAAGAAAGCTGTCTTACCAGGTATTTGCGTGGGTTCATGGCTCATCATACCTCAAGACAAAAATAAATATTAGTGTTAATCAATTGCCTTGCATTGTGAATGGTCCCCTCTGTCTACACCTCCCCCATCTCCAATCCTTTAAAAAAAAAAAAAAAAAGGGAAAAGAAAACTATCAACAAAAACACCTTTTTGTTTTTTTAAGTTTTATTTATTTTTGAGAAAAAGAGAGCAAGGGAGGGGCAGAGAGAGGGAGACAGAGAACCCCAAGCAGCATCCATGCTATCAGTGCACAGCCCCACATGGGGCTGGAACCCACAAACTATGAGATTATGACCTGAGCCAAAATCAAGAGTTGGACGCTTAACTGACTGAGCCACCCAGGCACCCCATCTTTTTTTTTAATTAATTATTTATTTCTTAATTTTTTAATTTATTTGAGAGCGAGCACATGCACAAGTGGGGGAGGGTCAGAGAGAGAGAGAGGGAGAAAATCCCAACAGGCTCTGTGCGGCCAATGCATAGCCTGACACGGGGCTCAATCCCACGAGCCGCGAGATCATGACCTGAGTGGAAATGAAGAGTTGGACGTTTAACCAACTGAGCCACCCAGGTACTCCCCCCCCCACCCCAAACACCTTTCAATGGCTCTTCATCCTCTGACAAAGCAAGCCCACTCTTTAGCCTGGTCTTCAAGAACTTTCATGATATGGCCCATATATCTTCAATCAATCTTTATAAGGCAGTCCTAGCACATTGGCTTTTAAACAAAATAGTGCTGGGTCTAAGAGTCTGCTTGGTCTAGTACTATTGTTATTATAATTATTAGTTCTGTGATTGGGCAGGCTTCTAATCCCTCTGAGTTTCAATTCCTTATTTATGCCAAAAAATACTTACACTGTAGGTTTGTAGTAAATGATAATTAAAGGAGATACATCATAAAAGTGCTTAGTACACTGCGTGGAACATATTAAACATTCAATTAACGGAGTCCCTCTGTTCTGGCTTAACTCATTCCTCAAACTCTTCCATGTCCAACAATGGCCTTAGTCCTAGGAGTCAGTCCTCATGTCACCTCCTAACCTTATAGCCAGTCTCAGAGGGTACGGAAAAAGATCACTTACCAGGTAAGACAGTGGTCTCCTGGCTTTTCGTTCCTAAAGATGAGAGCAGAAATTGTTTAGTGAAAAATACAATCAACTTGAAAATTAATGTAACCTTATATTTATATGGCTTTTTACAGTGGAAAACTAAAAGCTCTGAGAGGTGGCAGGGGACAGGGGCCTGGAGTCTGACTTAATGGTGAGAACAACTATGGCTAGTGACCCAGGAGCTCTCTGAAAGTAAGCAAAACTTCCTCTCAGCTCTTGTTGATTTTTTTAAGATTCAGTCCAAAGACTCTGACCTAGATTTATTTCTTAAAAATAAAACTTCTCAATTACATACATTATAATTACAGATAATTTGGAAAAACACAGGAAATTATTAAAAATTACTCAAAATCCCAGATTTCAGAGCTACTCATGCTCAACATTTTTGGTATATCTCCTTTCAATTCCTTTGCTATGTATAATGTATGTCCATATACATTTTTAAGCATTTTTCCCAACTTTATTGGTAATGTAATTGATAGCACTGTAAGTTTAAGGTGTACAGCATGATGATTTGAATTATATATATTGTGAAATGATTACAATTAACATCCAGCATCTCATATAGTTATTTAAAAAAAGAAAGAATGGAGAATTTAAAAAAGCATCTCATGTAGTTATTTTAAAAAAGAAAGAATTTTTCCCTTGTGACAAGATCTACTCTCTTAACAACTTTAAAATGTGCCATACAGCAGTAGTAGTCTAGTCATCATTCTTTACATTACATACCCAGTACTTATTTATAAGTGGATGTTTGTATCTTTTGACAGTTAAAATGAAGTTGCCATTACAGTCTGTACACCGTTTTACATCATATTTTTACTTGCCACTATAAGCACTTTCTCATGTCTTTAAATATTTTTCAAAAACATGATTTTTAAGTTGCTTAGTGTTTCATAATATGGATATTAGTTAACAATACCCCACTGTTGGACACTAAGGTTATTTATAAATTCTGGCTACCATCACAGTGTAAACATTTTGCACACAAATCTTTATATTTCCTTAGGACAAATATCTAAAAGTGTTAAAACTAGGTTAAAAGGATGGACATTTTTCAATGTTTATTTATTTTTGGGACAGAGAGAGACAGAGCATGAACGGGGGGAGGGGCAGAGAGAGAGGGAGACACAGAATCGGAAACAGGCTCCAGGCTCTGAGCCATCAGCCCAGAGCCTGACGCGGGGCTCAAACTCACGGACCGCGAGATCGTGACCTGGCTGAAGTCGGACGCTTAACCGACTGCGCCACCCAGGCGCCCCAGGCATGGACATTTTTAAGGCTACATACTATCAAACTGCCCTTCAAAAAAGTTCCAATTTACAATCTTATCATTAATTTATGAGGGTCCCTGTCTCAGCACCCTTGAGGACATTTGAGTAATATCATTATAAAAAAAAAAAGACAAAAACAAAAACCTGGAAATGAGTTGTACTTTGAAATACACTAAACAATCAGATGTATATAGTTAACAGCATTTATTACTCAGATTGCTGGAAGCAGAAATAAATACACAAAATCATTTTAATTTAGAAAAGAATAATGCCATTTTTTAATGCTCCTGCCCAACACCCTAACCCTAGGTCACAAGAGTTTGTGAGTAATTAGTCATACCTTCCTCTACCCATGTAACAGCTAACCTTATATAAAAGCAGAAAATATGCTCTTTAAAACTAATTCCTCATGTCATGTCTCTAACTGCTCTGTGGGTCATCTTGGAGATAAGACAGATAGGTAAGAGAGAGAGCTGCTGTGTCATCTTTACAAAGAAGGTCCATCTGTAACTCAGGAGGGCTCTGATATACCAAACGAGTACGCTAAAGTGGGTTCTGCCTTCTTCCGACTTTTCCTTACCATGCCATGCTTACCTGTTTCCATCACTAAGAGAGCCATATTGCAAATGAAAACCCCCAGAGTTTATGAAAATATCTTACCAGAGTCTTCAAGATTCTGGTTTTTCTCACCTAAGTTATAAGAAGAAACTTATCCGTTTTAGTGATAAAACAAAATAACTGAGAATTACTATAGTTACAACAAACTATTTTCAGGTATGATAGCCATAAAGAATCACTTGGTACATCCAGTCAACTAAAGCTACTAAATGTAAGCCAGAGTCTAAATGTACCTAATTGGAACCTTCCTCTGGCCCCCTTTATAAAGAAAAATCATCACATATAGCAAATCTCTGGGGGATCTCAATGAGCTAGAAAAATGTCTATCTTGAAGAGTTAGCTGAAATCTCTGTGAAATGACCAGTAAAACTTGTGGCTGCAATGGGCCAATAAGAAGTGTTGCAAAGCAAGTCCTCAAGGGCATAAAATGCTTCACATCAGGACAGGAAATATCTGCTAAAAATCAAGTAAATTGCATACTTAAGAAAAAGCCAGATGCTGTTCTCTCATCAATAAAGAAAAACATACTGTAGCTACATGGGCCAAACACATAATAAGGAACTTAAATGCAAAGAAGTGATCTGAGTCATATCACCATAAGTGGAAACTTAGGGAGGAAAAGCATCTAATCACCTAGATACTTTAGTCAAATGATAGCAAATATCAGCATCTCTGACAGATGCAAATGAGTAGCTTTTCTGCTTTCATCTGGATGTGTGGTGCCACACAGGCTAATTTCAATGACTAAATATAGAACTATACATAAGAGGTCCTCAGACCTGTCAAAAGCAACTAGCTCTTCAGGTCTACTCCCCTGAACGTTTCCATATTCTTCAGATCTCCAAAGACCCAACCCCTCTCATTTGTAGGAAGGTAAGTTTCCCCAAAATAGATACCCCCCCACCACTTATCTGTCAAGTTACTTCCCTTCCTGTCTGCAAAGTACTCTTTCTTCAGCTAAGAAGTGAATTTGCTAACAGGAAAGAGCTGCTAAATATTAAACATCCATTTAAAGATTATTTTTAAAAATTAGAGCACACTTACCAGGGTTGTAGATATAGATGGGTTGAGAATATTCTGAAATACAAACACGTTTTCATTACCTAAGTACTATCATCAGATTTAAATAAATGTCAGGTTCACTCTATTTTTAAATGCTTGTTAATAATAAAGATTTAGGTTGGCTTACAAAAATACAGTAATATGAGAAATTTAAGATTTTAATCTCAAAGCAAATGGATATGGATTTATTTTAATTACATGAAGAATTCATAGAAAAACTAGCCAGGAAGACAGCTAGAAGCAGACCGTTATTCTCAAACTTTTTAGCAAGGAAATCTTCAAAAGGATCCACCCAAAGCATGCATTAGCCTAAAGCATTTTCTGGAAACCTTGGTTCAAATCTATTGGGCTTATCTGATAATGCTATTCCTCGTAGAAATCCTGTTTCTCTTCCCAATCTTTCCTATGGTCCTCTGAGAAAGATTATTTTTGTTACCTCCTCTTATTTTTCACTGAGAAGCAGAGACAAACAAACCATATTACCATTCTGTCCCCCCCGATTCCCTCCTTAAGCCAAATGCACTCTACTTCTTCCCTTTGTCAGTCTCCCAGATGTTATTTCCTAAGATATCAAAATAGAAGACTATGAATCTAGCTCTGTGCATAGGAATCATGTAGGGGCATTTAGAAGTCCTTAAGCTCCTACATGGACAGGCTACGGTGAGAGTAGCATGGTCCCTGCATGCCCAAGGCAAATGCTGTGTTTGAGAGCACAGCCCCAGGCGTGGCTAGGGGTGGAGAGTAAGCAGCAAGGCTCCTGGGCCCTCCACCTGACACGGTGGTGGTGGCGGCGGTGGCAGTGGTAGCAGCATAGCAGCAGCAGCACATCTTAGCCTCAAGAAAATGATGGCTGATGATATGACAATATGGTGGGGTGGCTCTGCCGCATGCCTGGGAGAGGAACACTGATAAAATTCCCCTTAGAAAGATAATACTTTAAAAGCATATCTTACCCATGTTCTCAATACAATTTTCAGCTTTTAGTCCTGAAATATGAAGATACAGCTTTGTTAGACACAATCTGCCTTAGTAAAGATTTCAAATTGGTTTTATGGCTACTGATAACCTAATTTGTCAGCTTTAGTCTATCAGATCCATAATTTGGTGGGATTCAAAACGCAGAACAATTACATTTTTGTATTTATACTACAGCCACCAAACAGTATGATCTTTGATAAAACATCTAATGCTTCTGGAATTAAGTTTCCTTAGCTGTACCTTTTACTGGGAATTTGCTTCAAATGACCTCTAAATACCCATCCAAGGCTAACATTTTATGATTCTATTTTATGATTAGTCTGCAAAAGTTAGGAAAAAATTTACCCATCTGTTCAGTTAATCTTCTCTTCAGATACTAATGTCCTCAACAGCAAACCTATCCTTTTACTATGACAATTCCTATTCACTGGAGAAAGAGAATCTCAATCAGGTCTTCTAGATCCTTGAATATATAAATAAAGATCCTTCACATTCATATAAGGCAACAAGTTGGTCTACCCCAAACATTAATCTATGGTCTGTTCCAGAACACTGACCTATATATATAAGAAAATTCTACAGTTTTTGGAGAGCAGGAATATGGCACCTACTAGTGTATCTTTATAAGGTCCTAGTCCATCTCCTTGGTGATGCCCTAGAAAAAGTCACCAGTGCTGCAGCAACCACTCTGATATGCCCAACTATGGTTATGGCAAGAACTTCAGTGAGAGGATGTTTAGATTTAGAGCCACCATGAAATACAGAGGGCTTCCTAGAAAGTCACATGAGGATCTAGAGTCCCATGGCCTCTTCTCCATGTTTGGCTAACTCACTGATCTAATCTGGATATTCAGCTACCTGCGGATGAATCTCTCCATCTAAAATGGGGGGGGGGGATCCCCAAGATGTCTGGCTTCACTATGAGAGATGCACTTTTCCATAATCTGCTCTCAAATCCTGTACCATCTTGTGTAGGATTTGAACCAAGAATCTAGGTGTCTTGGTCCAGTTTCCACTGGTCAAGGAAATGGTAGGGATCTGTTCAAATCTGGATGGTGCCCTGAGGTGTCTGATGGTGCCCTCAGGTGTCTGACTAGACTGAAATTTTTGTTTATTTATTTTGAGAGAGAGGCGGAGAGAGAGAGAGAGCGTGCACGTGCACACATCCAGGGGAGGAGCTGAGAGAGGGAGAGAGAGAATCCCAAGCAGGCTCTGCACTGCCAGTGTAGAGCCCAACACGGGACTCGCACCCACAAACCGTGAGATAATGACCTGAGCCAAAACCAAGAGTCAGACACTTAACAGACTGAGCCATCCAGGCGCCCTTAGACACTTTTTTTTAATTTTTTTTTTAATGTTTTTATTTATTTTTGAGACAGAGACAGAGCATGAGCAGGGGAAGGTCAGAGAGAGAGGGAGACACGGAATCTGAAACAGGCTCCAGGCTCCGAGCTGTCAGCACAGAGCCGGACGCGGGGCTCAAACTCACACACCGCGAGATCATGACCTGAGCCGAAGTCGGACACTCAACCGACTGAGCCACCCAGGCGCCCCTAGACTAGACATTTTTTAAGAACAGTCTAGAGACTAATACAAAATACTGCTTTAGCAGGAAATGAGTAAGTGCAAGCCTTACTCAGAGGCCTTACTCACCTCAGAGGGTGAGGTAAAGGTGAGGGAAGATGTGTATAAGAAAGCTATTGGTATAATAGAAAGATTCAGCCAGGGGACTAGACACTGGGGGATTTTAAAACTTTTATCTTTCGTCTGTACCACACATTAGAGTATATTTCTCAAAGTGTAGTCTTCTAATCACATACTTAAGAATCATCTGGGTGCTTATTAAAAAGTACACCAGGGCCCTAGCTAGGACTACGGACTGATACAGAATTTCTGGGGGTGATGCCTTGTATTCTGCATTTTAAACAAGAAATCCCAAGTGATTTTTAAGCACAAAATTTTTGAGAGCCTCCAGTAATAGAGAATGGATCTTCTTTAATGTTTAACACAGATCCATTTATTCAAGACTGCATTTCTCTTCCCTATTTGACTGAACTTAATTTTCCATTAGTTTTTCAACAGCAAAAAAGTAAACTATTTTGGGTTAAAAGAGAGGAGACTGGTGCAGAAATAAACAGGAGAAAGCACAAATATATAGAGAATTAAAGAAGGGACTATAACCACAGATTTGATAGGTGTGAAAAAACCCACAAGATTACTGTGACTAGATTTACACCAATAAATTTGAAATATAGAACAAATGCCTAGAAAAACAGAACTTATTAAAACTCAAGAATAAATAGAAACTTGAATGGTACTATAACCATTAAGTAGTTTAAATTTTTTCCATAAAAAAAATACAAAGATAATTTGGTTTTTACAGAGTACTAAAGAGGAGGGTGCTGTACAGAGAGAACCCCAGAGATCTTCAAAGGGTTTCCTTTGAATACTGAGCAAAATACGGATCAACTTATGTGATCGGGTATGGGGAAACTACCTGATGCCAGGGAAAGAATCCATGAGAACACAAATGGTGCCTATTTCTACCAGTCACACTAGAAAACCTTGTAAACTGCCATTTTAGCAGAGAACTCTACAGTAAGAAGACTTAGAAACAGTCCAGACAACAGTAAATAAAGCCCTCTCCGGAGTTCCCTTTCTCCTTCAGATCCCCAGAAATTACAGATGTCTGTAACCAAACTCAGAGCTGATTGGAATTTCCAGCAACAAGACTAAGGCAGTATTTGTTAATCACTGGGTTTCTGCACATAAGCATTTCTTCCCTTTGGGAGCTGCTACTGCTTGCCTGTTACTGGGACTGAGACTGTCTCACTGCAAGAAAAGTCATGTCTCTCCAACCCGCTATCTTATCATGCGATGGGCTCTCCCTGAATTTAAGTTCCACCAGTAAGATAAAACCCCAGAAGTTCCATGGTCCATGGAGATTTACTTCCAATTAAGAGCCAAACCTGACTCCTAAGGCCTTGACCACTTTCACAAACAAGTGGCTGTCTATGGGACCTGCAGTCTCCAAACAGTGGTGGAGGTGTCCGTGAATGCTATAGCAAATTCACAGGGCTACCAAAGGATATTTTAAAATTTCAGGACAAATGCAGATGTACTTGGTATCTGTCAGGCACAGCAAGAACTAGAACTTGAAGTGGAACTCAGTTGCAAAGTCATCCCATGTCAATATTCTGTTTGATGGACATATTTGCAAGGCTGGGTTTTCGGCAATTATGACAAAAACCAAATATATGTGAAAAATCAATGTGGATCAGGAAATAAGTGGTGTCTAATCGGATTGCAAAGTCTGACAAACTGTGCAGTGTTAAACAGGCATATATATCCCATTAGCAAGTTACTGTAGCTAAGAATGAAATAATCTTTAGAAAACTGTTTATGTATATTACTTTTTCAAACAGTTACTAAGGTGTTAGAACATAAACACCGAGTTGTTTGACTCTATAAATGGAACCTTTTAGGTATTTCTTTTAGCATATGGACACTGTCAAAACAATTATGACAACACTAGGAACACCATGAACCAAGAAAATCTGAGAACCTCCACATCAGACATCACAAAAGCCTTATGTACTCCTTTACCCTGAACTACTGGCTCAACAGAGACCTTAGCTACAAGACTTCACACCTGAAAAGACAGCACAGTTCTCTAAGAAAACAGCCTTCCCCCAGGTTGGGCACATCCAATGGAGTGCTGCATCCATCCATTATAATAACTTATTCATTTTCTTGGATGCTCTTGCGAGTAGCTGAACTTCAAATGGTGATCCTGGCAGGAAGTACACTGCCCTGGGACTGACTAAAATCTACCTTTATATACATTCATGTGCCAATCCTAATACTCTAGACTGTATGATCAGGCCCCTGAGACACTGAGAACTGGATTACTAAAGATAAAGCCATATGTAGTCCCTCTCTACATAAACAAATGCATCAAATACAACTCAAGAACTCAAGATTTATGCTACATGTGTACATGCTTATATGAAGTGAATGCACCTAGAGAAAAGCACCTGGGGACTGGCAAAGCAAATCAGGCATGTGAGGCCATCATCTACTATAGCTTCTGGCTCTCTAAGCAAATCTACCACAGTAAGGAAGTCATTTATAAAGGATTAGGACCTCAAACGAAAAATTCTATTAGCCTTCCAATGAAGATCTCTACAAGACTGACTGGTTGGCTGTCTTGAGATATTTATAAGTTGCATTAAACCATGCTAACCTCTGTTAGCTAATTTTCCAAGTATCAAGGAATTAGGTGTTAAAGAATGAGGTGAACTGGAGGAATAGCATACTCTCCTCCTTTCTGTGTGGGTGTGCTTGTTCTGACCTCAGTGGATGGATAGACATTCACACAATACCTGCTTCTACTTCAGTAAATCAATACATATTTCATATGACCTCAGCAAACAAATAGATCATATTGATTAGGTCAAAACCATGAGTACATGAAACTGGAGGTTGACTTTGCTTCCAGTGGTTCTGTAACTAGACTCCTTTGCCACAGAGGTCACCATGGAACTGATTATTGTGGAAAAAGGACAGCCAATCTGGATCATCCTCAAGAGGAAGTGACCAACTGTAACGGGGTGGGATTATGGTAGGCAGCTTCTGACATGGTTCCCAGTGATCCTGCCTCCTGGTACTCACGTCCTTATATAATCCTCTCCTCTTGCATGTGGACTGAGCCTAATGACTTGCTTTTAGCAAACAGAATACAGCAAAGGTGATGAGACGTTACTTCCATGATTAGGCTGTGAAAGACTATGACTTACTGGAACTTTACTCCTCTCAGGGGAGGCTAAAAAGGAGTGTTAATCAGAACCAGTGAATATACTTATGTTTAATGAGCCCTCAAGGGCTAGGGGTGGATTTATGAAAACTAAATTTGGACAGTCCTACAGGTTTATCTTCCTTCCCTCTTTTGATGGCTTAGCAGAGAACTGGCTCAACAGGTCTCAGTAAGATTAATAAAATAGACTAA